ACAAACTCATTAACAATTATAGTACGTTGATTAAAATAACAATGTTTACACATAAAGAAGACAAACAAGAGAACAGTACAATGCAACAATATAACAAACACAAGAACTGATTAACTATAAAGAGACAAAAGATATTTATTAAGTTTAAGTTGAAATGTTGAGATTGAGGGTGAATCTCGAATTTCACTATTTAAAGAATTATAAAATTTAGGGCCTTGGAATTTTACAGTAAATTGTTTGGCCTTCGTTCTACAAAATGGGACATAAAATTGGCCAGCAGTCCGTAAATTGTGAGAGTGGATTTGATCAGTGGTCGAGAAAAAATTGCTAAAACTTGGAGGAAGTAAATTTTTCTGGTAAGAAACATGAACTTACCCAGATTAAGAAGATATATATCTTCAACTTTAAGTATCATTTTGGAGTTAAATAAAGGTGATGTATGTGCATCATAGGATGCGTCACTTAAGATTCTAACTACTTTTTTCTGTAGTAATAATAATAGACGGTTGAGATTTGAGGGATACATTGCTCCCCAAATGATAACACAATAGTTTAAGTAGGGATATACAAGAGCAAAATACAAGGTGCGCAGGGTAAGACGGGTGAGACAGAAACTTGATCTATATGTTATTCCAATGGACTTTGAAATTTTGCTAGCAACATACGAAATATGAGATTTCCAAGTCAGACTTTCATCCAAAATTACTCCAAGGAAAGAAGTTTCCTTGACTCGTTCTAGCCTATGATTATTTATTTCAATTACTAGATCAAGTGTTTGCCTCCTTTGTCTTTGTCTGGGGTGAAAATTATATAATTAGATTTCTTAATGTTGAGCGACAGCTTATTTATTAGCAAAAAAACATTCTGATAGATTTTTCATTTCACTATTAATGACAGTTGTTATCCTAGATAAATCACTATCGGAAAAAAACACATTTGTGTCATCAGCAAATAAAATCATTTCGGCTATGCTAGAAGAATTAGCTATATCATTAATATAAATCAAGAAGAACAAAGGTCCGAGGATTGACCCTTGAGGTACGCCACACTTGATTTTACTTAATGAAGAACAAGTACTGTTGAATTGAACATACTGTTGTCTATTAGTGAAATAACTTTTGATCCATTGAAGGGCCGATCCTCGAATACCATAATGTGCAAGTTTCTCAAAAAGTATCTCATGATCGACAGTATCAAAAGCCTTAGATAAATCAAGAAATATTCCAATAGTATACTTTTTTTCATCAAAAGCAGTTGTAATTTTATCCAATAAATGAATTAATGCAAGCGAGGTGGAATGGTTTTTTCTAAAGCCGTACTGATTATTCAACAAAATATTGTATTCGTTTAAATAATTTAATAGCCGGTCATACACGACCCTTTCCAGAATTTTAGAAAAGACCGGTAGAACCGATATTGGCCGGTAGTTGGAGAACAGATTATCCGCACCTGATTTAAAAATAGGTATAACCCGTGCTATTTTCATCTGATCAGGAACGATGCCAGATTGAATAGACAAATTGACAATATGGGTCAACGGCTCAGAAACCAAGTCAACAGAATCCTTGACAATTTGCATAGAAATATTATCATAGCCACCAGCAGTTCCTGATCGTAGAGAGCTAATTATTTCTGTGATTTCTGATTGGACTACTGGTTGAAAAAACAACGAGTTTACAAAATTTCCCGTCAAATAGGAACTAGGAATTTGGGATGAAGTTGGTATATTATTAGCTAAATTGGGACCTATATTAGTGAAATAGTCACAAAAGCGATTGGCAATATTCAGTGGATTAACGATATTTTGGTTATTAGCAATGAACACCGATGGCAATGGCTTTTTACGGGTTTTTTTGTTTATAATTTCATTTAATGTTTTCCATGTTGTTTTAATGTTGGTTTTGGTAGACTCCAATCTCTCTTCATAATAAAGGCGTTTGGCTGAACGCAATAAATGATTAAGCTTATTTTTGTATTTTTTATACAGGTTTTCATAAGAGGAAGTTGGAATACGTAAAAATTTCTTATATAATTTGTTTTTCTTCCTAATCGATGTTAAAAGACCGCCAGATATCCAGGGCTTGTTAGATTTGAACTTCGCTGCCTTTACTCTTCTCAAAGGAAAAGAAGTATTATATATATTCGTAAAGTTTTTATGGAAAGTAGCATATGCACAATTAGGATCGTCATATCCCTCAAGATCAGTCCATTTAAAATTTTTTAGCCGATCTTGAAATTTTAGCAAATTAGCCTTATTCTTATCCCTAAGGTCACGTATATATCACTAGCATCTTGTAATGATTGGTCGTAAAAAAAGGAAAAAATTGGTAAATGGTCGGAGATATCGGTAAACAATAAACCACTGAAGGAATAAGTGTCTAAATTATTTGTAAATATATTATCAATTAATGTCGCTGTGTTAGAAGTTATACGCGTGGGCCGGGTTATCAAAGGAAAACACATATTAGAGTACATAATATCGAGAAATTCACCGGTAAATTGATGGGTATGGTAATTAAGTAAATTCAAATTAAAATCACCCATTAAATAACACGATTTGTTTTCTTTGGAAATTGCGGAAATTAATTTGTTAGTATAAACAAATTCATCAATTCTATGGTCAGGAGGCCTATATATTATTCCAACAACAATGTTTTTCCCTTTGGGTTGATAAATTTCAATAAACAATGCTTCTGTGCGAGGTGTATTGTCAAATATAAGGTCCGAACGTAAAGTGAATTCAAGGTGATCTGCCAGGTACAAGCCGACACCACCTCCTGCTTTGCTGGTTCGATAATTATGAACAAAATTATACCCGTCAATACTCACATTGTGTTCTTCTTGGCGAAGCCAAGTTTCAGTTATGCCTATCACAGAAAAGCGGTGTTCGACAGTGGTCAGCAAATTTAACAAAGTTTCGTTGTAGGCTTCTAATATTTAGATGAAAAAGCGAAAAACAATTATTCGGCATAGTATTAGACAGGAAGTTATTTAGTTTTAGCTCCGTATAGTAATCACAACTTTGAGATACTTTTGAATAAAAATTCGAATCAGCATCTAAATCAGAACATAAACCAACCGTATTATTGTAATCATATAGCAGCGGGTTAAAAACCAAGCATGATAATCTATCCTCATCAAATCGTACAGAGCCATTTGCGAATTCATATAACACAAGCTCAAATTCGTCATCATCAAGATGACTAAAGGGCAAAGCATGCATTTCAGACATATTGACAAAAGGACATATAAACATTCAAGTACAGATAATAAATATACACAAATTTAACGTTCATTGACTTTGGCTTCAAAATCTTCGAATTCTTTCAAAGACGAAAATGACAGAACTTCAGATGAAGGAGTGGCTTCTTTCTTCAACAGGATCTTGCCGTACTTTGTCCAAACAAACTTGTAGTGATGGTCCCGTTTGAAGGCTTTAACGGCTCTGAGCAAAGCTCTGGATTGTTGAGTGAGGCTTTCGTTAATAAAAAGTCGTGATTCCAGATGATATCCAAGGTGTAATGCAGTCTTTGAAGATAGACCACGTCTCATTTTGTATATCTTGTCTCTCATGTCTCTTCTGACAAATTTTACAATTATGGGCGGTATTTGACCTTGACGGGAAGGCAAACGATGACTAATAGAAATTTCACTTTGCTCGAAGGTCATTAATGGGTCGGCAAGTTCGACAACTTTCTGTACGATTAAATTGGTATTTTCTCCCTCTGTTATGGGCACTCCATGGATCTCCAGCATATCCCTTCGAATATATTGCTTTAGTTGTTCAACTTCGCCATCCGAGACAAGAACGCTTTTCTCTAAACGCTTCACTTGTTCGCTCAGTTGCGTATTGGTCGAGCGTAGGTTGTCATTTTCAAGATGAAGCTCTTTAACCTCTTTTACCAGGTCATCAAATTTGCCGCCCAAGAACTCCTGACTTTTCTTAATTTCGTCCAAATCAGCCTTGGTCGACTTAGAAAATTTTAGAAAAAGCTCATTCAGCTGATCGGTTTGCTGCTTGAGGCGATCATCAAGAAAAGCTTCCAAGCTTGACTTGTTGCTGCATGGCGACATGTTGTCTTCGCCCATATTTTCTGCTTCAGAATCATCAGCAGGTTTTGTTTTCGTATATTTCTTTTTTGGTGGCATTCGGTTGTACAAGTTATAAGGCCAGTGATAGATAGAAATAGGCCAGAAGTATATCTTTAATAAGATTTCAAAGTTTAATTATATTTAAAGCGGAGCGCCTGAGCACACGTCATGCACAACTCGTGACCCTACGTCATGCACAACTCGTGACCCTACAGTATCTGTCTTCTTGTTTTATTTTGTTAATGTATTAGTTCATTTTTGTTGGCAAAATTAAAATCAATCAATCAATCAATCAATGTGGAACTTTACAGTTCGCGGCTTAGCTATTCCAAATTTAATAACAATAGAACATTTGTTTCATGAAAAAGAAACAGCAGAAGAACAGCAAAAGGATAAAGTTACTGCATGGGATACGTTCATAGGTAAGAGCTGCATGTAAATTACACTCAAAATTGTGTTTGTAACTATAATATACTGTACGGTAAAAATGTTATTAGATTACAGGTTCTGTCCACAAGTATCTGATGTTGTCATTTACCGAAAACCCAATAATCTGGAAATGGTCTTCTGGGAGTGTAAAAATTTAAACACTGGATAAGCGAATATGTGTGGACAGCTTTGCCTGATAAATTTGAAAACAATATTTGAAAATGATGACATCAAATTGTGGAAATCAGTACAACTGCATCAGGGGCATAACTTGTAGACTCTTTTTGCCCGACAAAAGGGCATGGAGAAAAAAAATTGCCATGCCTACACTAAGTACAGATTTTATATATTACTCATAAATGAAAGACAGTAATATTTGCAATGAGATAAAAAAGTCCTAAAAAAAGAGTTCATATAAGAGTCCCAAATGATGTCACAATTATTCGTTGTACAGTACATGTTATGTTATGCAATACTTTTCAGAGCAGCCCCTCTGAGGCCATAGCGTTTTTGCTGTCCCTAGTGTTCTTGCCGTCTTTAGCGTTCTTCCTGTTCTTGTCATTCCTAGTGTTCTTGCTGTCCCTAGCGTTCTTCCCGTCCCTGGCATTCTTCCTGTCCCTGGCATTCTTCCTGTCCCTGGCATTCTTCCTGTCCCTAGTGTTCTTCCTGTTCTCGTCGTTCCTACCGTTCTTCCTCTTCTTGTTGTTCCTACCGTTGTCGCTGTCCTTGTTGTCCCTAGCGTTCTTCATGTTCTTGTTGTTCCTAGCGTTCTTGTTGTTCTTTATTGTCCCTAGCATTCTTCCTGTTCTTATTGTTCCTACCGTTCTTCATGGTTTTGTTTTTCCTAGCGTTCTTGCAGTCTTGCTGTTCCTACCGTTCTTTATGTTCTTGCTGTTCCCAGCGTTCTTGCTGTTCTTGTTGTCCCTAGTGTTCTTCCTGTTCTTATTGTTCCTACCGTTCTTCATGTTTTTGTTGTTCCTAGCATTCTTGCAGTCTTGCAGTTCCTACCGTTCTTCATGTTCTTGTCGTTCCTAGTGTTCTTCATGTTCTTGCTGTTTCTACCGTTCGCGCTGTTCTTGGTGTTCCTACTGTTCTTCATGCCGTCTTTTAAAGAACGTTAGGAACTGCAAGAACACTAGGAACGACGAAAACAGGAAGAACGCTAGGGACAGCAAGAATGCTAGGAACAGCAAGAACGCTAGGGCCTCCGAGGGCTGCTCTGAAACATATTGCATAACATAACATGTAGAACGACTAATTATGACGTCATTTGGGCACTCTTATATGAAACTTCAGCCGATAAAATAGATATAATATTGTCCCAGATAGACAATATTATATACACATCACAATAACAATAAATTTGGTTCGTGATACTGTAGTTATTATACTGTAAAACCCTAAAATAGTGAATAATAAGATTTACGCTACCTGTATGTGGATATTTACAGGTGTACCTACTTCGGTTCCTTGTACGTCAAGAAAGAACCGAAGTGGATTCATGTCCGTGTGCACCTAACATAAATACGTACTGCAACAATCAGTTAAAGATCAATAGATCATAGTGTTTGAAAGCTTCCGTCGTGGTACTTAACAATGGAAATTAACCATAAACAGTAAAATATACAGTAGAAAGTGACAAAGTGTAATTCACATTTGATTACTGCAAAGGCAGTACTTCATTTTGTTAACTTTTATATTGCTACCAGCTTCGTAATGTCTTTTTTTACGTTTAACTTTCCAAAATTTTAAATTCTCTCAAAACACCTGTTTATTTTTCGCCTGACGAAAAAAAACTGTTATGACGCATACTTACAGTACTAAACGTTTCCAGCATTTTCAAATCGCCGGTTTTCGTGTGGACAGCAAAATCAATCGTATGTGTGGACGCGTTTAATTTAAAACAGACATTGCGTACACCAGGCCTAAATTGAATCACTGACTCTGTTTCTTGGTAGCATTTCAAATCCATTCACTTTTTATATTTATTTCAATTACTTGTAGAAACAAATAAAGAACATTTGGAATTATGGAATGAGGTTCAGGATAACTTTTTGTTGAAACTACTAAATACAAGCTTAAATTGTATTTCAAGTTCTGTATTTCAAACTGTGTAAAGTCGGATACATTAATACTTCCATTATCACTGGAAGATAATTCCACCACCGCAGGAACTGCAGCAATCATGGAAGAATTTGGAAAGGAGTTTGGCATCTCATGTGATCATGCCAAAGTGTATTTACCATTTGATGACAGGAACAATGAATTTGACCTCAACGCAGCGCGAGAGCATCATGTATTTATTTCTTCCTTACCTGAGCACAAGTCAACGATGGCTAAAACTGTTCAGCAGTTGCGAGAAGCTGAAAAAGCGTTTGATTTACCATCAACGCAAACAGAATCGAACTCAGACACTTGCAATGGAACGAAAAGTCATCAAAAGATAGATGGAGAATTCAAACGTATTTTTGATAGCTTGTTCAGAAAATGTGACAAGCCCAACAACACAACGACTTATCCAAATTTTACCAGTTTATTTCCTGGTTGGATGACAATCGACAGCAGTGGGCAGATGTAAGTGGATAAGTGACAATAGTGAAGATGCAACATTTAAATACTATGCTCAGATGGTCACTTTGTTTGGCCCATTGCAACAAATGTATCGTGATGCGATTAGGTACGGCAATGGAATTGCGCGAGAGGCGTCTTGGATGATTATGCAGCCTCTTTTCGCCCAATCAAACAAAAGGAACTATCACACAGAAGCTATGGTACACATTGTGAACTTTCTTGCCATGTGGCCACTTGCTACAAGAGAGCTCCTCAGAAAAAATTGTTCAATCAGTTTAAATGGGCGTGTAGGACATAATCTAGCTCTGGATGAGTGGGTTGAATCGTGTATAGTACAGCCTATGAAAAACTACTCAACAGGTAAGTTTTAATAACAGCATATAACAATTAACATGTAAACATCTTCTTGTTATTTTGTATATCATCTATCTCATCACACACCCGGCCCACAAATAATCGTTTTAAAAGACGTGTTAAATCCCATATACAACCTTGAATGATGCCATTGACTGCAATGTGATAAGTGCTCATCACGCTCTGATAACCTAGTTATCACACTATTTTTGGTCATTGTGAGTGTGTCATAAGATAAAACAGTGAGTGTGTGGTATGAGATCTATGAGTGCGATATGAGATTTATTGAGTGCGATTAATAGCCACTCGGGCTGAGCTTCACTCGCAATGTTAAATCTCATATCGCACTACTACGTATTGATTGACAATTATTGCGAGAATAATCTCAACATGAAAGTTAATCGGGAGCTGCGAGTATTTTCCTTTGTTCACATTATTTATAGTTTATTTAATTTATTGTAATTCTACGATTTCTACCTTAAAAGGAGATTCAACAGTTCAGATGTTGCAAAGACTTATGGCAAACATTGACTTGCTCATCCAAACAAGGAAATCATTCCAAGCGAGAGAAGCATTCAATGTGCATCCCACAACCAAACACACAGAGCAAGATCCGTTCCCTGATCAACCTAAGGCAGCACATTTTATTTTAAGGAGAAGGTTCTTTGAATATGTTCCAGGTAGGAAAACAGTAGAAAAGTTTGGTGATCCCAAAAAGGCGTCAATTTCCACTAACAACGTTGATTGTTATGCTAGTGGGAAAAGGAAAGTTGTGGCCACTTTCAACCGAAAATTATTCAACGTGTATGGAATAATGAATGAATTAGATGTTAATGAGTCTGATGATGAAAATATTGGTAGTGAATCAGATTAAAAGACAGAACCTTTACTGTACACACATCCCATTCGTATTTCAATGTAGCAATCATTTTTACAGTTGCGAAAGGTTGTTTTGTGTTAAATCATGGATAAAATAAAAAATTATTTTATTATCCATGGTTAAATAGAGCATGTAATTTAACTTGAATTAATCTGCCATGTCTATGACTATGTATGGACTATCTATAATGATGTTTTTTTTGTTACTCTGAGTGTATATCCTCACCGGACAGGCTGAAAAGTTTGCCTGACCACGGTGGGAATCGAACCCCCGCAACCTTAGTCGAGACAATTACCTAGTCCAATGTTCTGCCAACTGAGCTACAAGGCCAACTCTGTTCAAGTGTTTGGTATTTCGGAACTAAGTCTAGTACCTTCGATACCAATGTGTTTTCAGAGCAGCATTGAGAAACATTAAATTATTTTCACCTGAGTACATAGCATCAAAACACACAGAAAAAATATCAAGTCCATAATTATGTTTACATAAAACATCTATGAAATCATTCTGAAATAATGGATATAATTTGACTCGAGTGATAACAGTGTTACTGTTTCATCTCAAATATTGAATAATATAAATCCTCACTGACACTGTATGTACTTTTGAACTGTTGAAAGAACAAATAATTGAAATTTCCAGCAGCAAAGAGCAGACATTGTGCATTTGTTAATAGAATGGATATTTTTGTAACTCAATTGAATTTATTAATTTGGTGATACTAAAAATAATAGATAGATATATTAAGATTAATTTCATTTACCCCTGTCATCTGAACCTGATGTTCACAGTGGCTGTGCAAAAATAGCAATACAATATTTGAAATTGTTTTTAAAATATGTTATATGGTACATTGTTTCAGCAGTGTACACTCTAGAGTGTCCAAATAGCAACATAACAATATTGAAAGTATTTACAAAATATGTGATATATACAGTAATGTAGGATTTCCTTAGATAAAGTACAATATCCAAAGAAATAAAATTGAAATAGACCAGTTGAACTGTATGTGTGTTTGAAATACACCATAATAAAAATGATGGCAGGTGTCAATTTTACCATAATGCTTTGTGAACCTGAATTAGTTATGAACTGTAAGAACAGTTTATTTTATTAACATTGATAAAAGCTGTGATATTTAGGGATCAATAACATATATCTTACAAATTTTATGGCCCTATGTCTTTTCAAATATTTTCTTAAGATATGTTTTCTTCTTGAAAAGAATTATGGTAAAGTCAAGATGCCCCCAAATTTTTTGTTACGGTCGATTGACACTTTCTTCCGTAGAGGCTTTGTGTTTTAATTTGGATTCTTTTGAAGTTTGCAGGCAGAATAGTTGCGGGCTAGGCAGGCAAGGTGAAAATTATAGGGGATAAATAGGGATGAAAGTTGAGAGGCAGAGCAAGGGAAACACAAAGCCTCTACAGAGGAGAGTGGTCAATTTAAATAGGTCCTCAGTTAAATAAAATTGAAATATTCCTGTTTGGTCTGGGAGCTTCTATTTAATGATTTGTGAACGAAACACCTATGTTCATTTAAAGTTTGTTCGTTCACTGCAACCAGGTATATCAATCATGTTAAGCTTGCTACTCTGGTTTAAATAAGTGATTACAAATCCCAGTCGAATTGTAATCAAGACACAACATGATTGTGTGATGTGTGGGAAAACTCTAAAGTAATTACCACAGACAAAGACTATGCCTAGAAGCGTGGAATATAAATATGAGTAATCATGCTTTGAATAGGGATGATGGTGCCTATTTGCCAGAAGAATATATGCATCTCATTGCCAGGTGACGTCATCCCTTGGATATTTAAGAAGCCACAATTGCAATTTAAGTTCACCCCTGATGAAGACTCTAGACTGAGTGTCGAAACGTTGGGTCTTGATTACAATTTGACTGGGCTTTGTAATCATAAATGAAACCAGAGTGAAACACAACCTATGTTCATGTTCAAACATGAGAATGAGACTCCCAGATGGATAAACAAGATATGCGAGGCAATTGTCAAAAGGGTATATTCCAGGCATGCTTATATACTGTAGGGTGTCTAACAAAGTTAACTTCAACAGACTGTTGCTCCTTGAACATTGAGTTTAAGATTAGGAACAAAAAGGCTACATACAAAGGCTACTAGTACAGTAGTATTTCCAAACTTGCCATTAAAACACAACTGTGTTACGAATTCAAAACATCAATCATTATTACTTTTGACAGAATGTATTTCTTAACCAATAGCAAAATAAGTCTCCATACCATAATCACACAGAAATTGTGTTAAAAGAGTAAACTAGTTTATCTTGTGAAAATAGTAGGGCTTTTGGGTTTCAAATTAGTGAATTTTACACCACTTGGGAATTAATTTTAAATTCTTGGCTTTGAATTAAACTCCTAACAATGCCAAAAATGAGTTTTCAAACAGCAATTTTAACAGTCATTTTAAGTTTGATTCCTTTTTTCCAGACATACTGTTAATAGTATACCGATGACAAGTATTAATTTGTTGCAAATTTGAGAAATACTGCTGCTCATATCTTCCAAATTATAATGTTTTATATACTTGATCAAGCACATGTGATTATTTAACATACTTATATCTATTAATTAATAGTTCACCTTGACTTATCATTCCAGCTTTGCTTCCACACAATAAATATGGATGTGAGCCAATTTCGTTTGGTCCTCTAAGTTCTTCTAGAATCACATCTTCTGCTATTAACATGTAGATGAATTGCTTTAACTCAGATTGAGAAAATGCACTCTTTCCATGACCAAATTCTGGAACTTCATGCAATGACTTGCTTACAACTTCCTTCCGTTTAGACCCTCTGTAAACCAACATTAACAAGTTCAACGTAACCTTGTTTTGAACAATCCGTATATTGTTGAGACAACTTAATATTCCAAGAGCCTCAGTGCTAGCATTTTGTGGTGCCATATCGCATGTTCCCAAGCAAACATCACACATGTTACAACAAGGATCTCTGTAGTACATCCTCAGAAAAATAGTGGACCAATTAAAGCTTTCTGCATTTGGGTATGATGCAATATTTGATGACTTCATTCAATTTTCTTTGTTTTAAATCTCGGTGCTCGCTCTCCGGTAATGAAGAAATCATATGCATGTGTCTTGTCCGATCATCAAAACAGAAAAATATACATGATGTTGACTCTTCTCCATCTCTGCCAGCACGGCCAAACTCTTGTGCATAACATTCCAGTGACTGGGGTAAACTCAAGTGGATTACAAAACGGACATCTGGTTTGTCAATTCCCATTCCAAATGCAATTGTTGCACATATAACCAGGGCTTTTCCATCCAGCCATGCTTGGAAGTTCTCTTTCTTCTTATATGGATCAAGCGCACCATGATAATATGTGGCATTAATCCCTTGCATTTGTAACAAATATGCCATGTCTGTTGTGTCAGACCTTTGCAGACAGTAAATAATGCCACATTTGTTTTTGTGTTCATTTAAAATTTCATTTACCACTTGATCCTTACCATCTCCTTTCTTCGCTTTAACAATTTGGGAAATGTTTTTGCGATTGCATGTCTCTCTTACAATGATTGGGTTTGTGATTTGAAGAGATGAAATAATGACACCTTCAGTTCTGGCAGTACATGTAGCAGTTAATGCAATTATTGGACATTGTAATTGCGATAGAACTCCAAGTTGAGCATATGCTGGTCTGAAGTCAAATCCCCACATGTCAACACAGTGGCATTCGTCAACTACAATGTATTTCAGTAAACCATTTGTTTTTAGAGTCTGAAATACACTTCTCATCTCCTCTGTTCCAGCAGTCTCTGGTGTGACAAATACAAAATTATAGGGTGAGTTACCAGATACCATGTTATGTATGATGGTATTTCGATCATCATCAGACACTGAGGAATTAATATAGGCAACATTAAGACCCTTAGACCTTAAATGTTGTACTTGATCAAGCATCAGTGACAGGAGTGGAGAAATTACAACAGTCAATCCACCAGCTATTATAGCTGGAATAGAATAGCACAGTGTTTTTCCAGCACCAGTAGGAAGAATAATTAAACAATCACTGCCAGAAAGGATGGCATCAATTGCTTCTTCTTGTTTGCCCTTGAACATTTCGTACCCAAATATGGTTTGCAACACACTCATTTTCTTGGATGATGCATCAGAACCAGTGGTAGATTGATAGTTGGTGCTGTCTTGCAATTGTTGTATTGGTATCGTACCGGGATGAATTTCATCTTGAGCGGGTATATTTTGCATATACTGTAAAAATTCAAGAAACATCCTGAATAATAACTCATTTATTATGGAATATTATTATTTTGAAATATTATTTCTTATGGAATGTTATTTAATATAAATAATTTATTGTTGATATTTATTTTATCATTTGTATCATGGAATATTCAATTGAATTCTGTTTTAAACCGACAATATAAAATGACATTAATAATTGTAAATATTATAATGTTCATTTCAAATTTGATTAAATTTATGTGACATATCCATTCATTCAGGCACACACACATACTGTATCACAATCAATTCCTAATGAAGTCAAGGGGAAAGTTTACATTAAACAGTATTTAATGTCATGTGTTTAACTGTGTTTTACAGTATAAACAACATTTTGAAGCACAACTAAACAGCAGTACAGCACATTTTATGATTTTCATAATACACAATTGCTGTACCTTTTTCATATAGCAGCATTCAACTACAACGTTTCCAGGCATTCAGCCATCGGACAAACAACTTTATACGTCAGATACGCCTCGTGAAACGGCCTTGAAAATATTTATTCCCTTTCTCGCTCTTCGATAACAGCGTCCGCCATTACAGCGTCCGCCATCTTGAATTAGGATTTCCCAGTCGCTTCCCTCGCCGTCACATTCCCATCAATCAGCGCGCGTTGGGTAATTCAACGCGCGCGTTACTGAAGCGACTGGGGACGAGTCAGACACCGGGCTAGTATTCCAAAGGTCGTAGGTTCGAATCCCACCGTGGCCGGGCATATTTTTCAAGCTCGCCCGGTGTGGTTATACACTCAGAGTAACACCACAAATATCATATTCACCTGAGTACACTACACCAACACAGAAAAAATTCATATTACTAGAATACATTGGTATCGAAGGAACTAGATTCTGTTCCGAAATATCACTTACTCGAACTGTCCTGACCGCGTAGCTCAGTTGGAAGAGCATTGGGCTAGTATTCCAAAGGTCGTAGGTTCGAATCCCACCGTGGCCGGGCATATTTTTCAAGCTCGCCCGGTGTGGATATGCACTCAGAGTAACATCGCAAACATATTATTCACCTGAGTACACAACACCAACACAGAAAAATTCATATTACTAGAACACATTGGTATTGAAGGAACTAGATACTGTTCCGAAATATCACTTACTCGAACCGTCTTGACCGCGTAGCTCAGTTGGAAGAGCATTGGGCTAGTATTCCAAAGGTCGTAGGTTCGAATCCCACCGTGGCCGGGCATATTTTTCAAGCTCGCCCGGTGTGGATATACACTCAGAGTAACACCACAAATATCATATTCACCTGAGTACACTACACCAACACAGAAAAAAAAAATTAGTTTAAAATTATTGGTTAAGGTTTATAAGACGGGACTTCTTTCCTGATATAAACAACTGGCTCAAAGTTGCCTTTATTTTAGCACTTGATTTTTGGATAAATGCTTGGTGGTATAAAATGATCAATTTTAATTAACCAAATTTTGTGTAAAACACAGTTCTGAAGGCGTTCGAAAATAATGCTGACGTCAGCACTTTTGTTTTCCAAGTCGCTGTAACTCAGGAGGAATTAATCATATTGGCTCAAAATTTTTGGTGATCATTTGTAATTATATAAACAACATATAAAACTTCCAATATAGAGTTATTGTTTGTCACTTCCCGTCAAAATGGGAAAGATCCATCACTTTCGTAATAAAATATATGTTGTCAGACGTCCATGTTTTTAAACAGTTGCATGGCTACCATCGGAATATATTGTCATGTTCCGGTATATTCCGGGAAAATGTCGTGATATTCCGTATTATTCCGCCATATTCCGTGATATTCTGGCATATTCCGTGATATTCCGTGATATTTCGCCATATTCCGTGATATTCCGGCATTCCGGGTTTTCACAACGCCCAATAGCAAAAAAGGTTATAAAACGTTTTAATTATTCCGTAATGAGTTAAATGGTATACGACACTTTAATATATCTCTGACTCTGTGTATTAAAGCCGAACAGCAGCTGAAATCTGAATATATAAAATAAGGTGTGGCAAAACAATATCGTAACTGACATACAGCTGAGTAAACACGGGAAAACGAGCATATACAACTATTAATATTTTCCATATCTTTGCCAAAGCAAATTAATCTTATTATTCATGTTTCGCTCGCTACTCTGGTTTAAATAAATGATTACAAAGCCCAGTCGAATTGTAATCAAGACCCAACGTTTCGACACTCCAGTCTAGTGTCTTCATCAGGGGTGATCTAAAACTGCGATCGTGGCTTCTTAAATACTCAAGGGATGACGTCACCTGCCAAGAAGATGCATATATTCTTCTGGCAAATAGGCGCCGTCATCCCTATTCAAAGCATGATGACTCATATTTATATGTCACGCTTCTAGGCAAAGTCTTTGACCATAGCGATTGTTTGTGGTAATTACTTTAGAGTTTTCCCACGCAATCTCGTGTTTGGTGTAACATACATGTTCGGCTAAAGCTGATTTTCCCTTGTCTAACGTTGAAACAGCCTTTTGATGTTCTTTTAGCCGTGTACCAAACTGGCGTTTAGACTGACCCAAATACTCTTTATCGCAGTCACCGCATGGTATAGAATATATAGCATGAGTCTTCTGATATTTTTCAACAGGATCTTTTGGCTTTGCGAAAATATGGCCTAAGGTCAAATAGGGTTTTAAGGCAACCCTAATATTACAATTACTTAAGATTCTCTTGATTGGTTCTGTGACACCTTGAATGTATGGAACTATTGCAAAACCCTTAACAGAGGTATCACCCTCGGAGTTATTTTGGTTCCTACAA